CTCCACCGTCAGAGTCTTGCTTGCCTTGTCGGGGATCACGCGGACGCGCAGGTGGGGCTCGTCGCCGAGCACAGCCTGGTTCGTCAGGCTCTGGTAGCGGACCTTGTCGCACGCATCGGACGAGTTGCTGATCAGCTCACGCAGAAAGATTTCCTTGTTAGAATAAAATGTATTAATGATGAGAGACATCAGCTGATTAATCTCAGCCTGGAATGCGAAGGTCTCGGTCATCTTTGCGGGGTTCTTTGTTCCTGGGTTGTGTAATAGGTTGTATGCTTGCTGTTCCTGCCTAAGCCTGCCGCAGAATGCTGATGCTGTTGTGTTACGAGAGTCGTTCTTAGCTGCCGGTGGCACGTAAAGCGCAGAGGGGGAGAGAAGAAACAGAAAACACAGTCACATTGTAGAAAGTAGCCGTTGTGTGTGGCTGGATGCCCATTTGGCGTTGCAGGCTTCACTGCGTGTCATATGCTGCTGAAAAAATTCCCATGGGGATTGTTGTAGGTGCCAATGTCTGCAGAGTATCTACATTTATGATAGTTGGGCTACCGTACTCTTTTTTTACGTTTGTTGCCTCTCTGTGGATTGGTCCGTGCGTATTTGTGCGTTGCCACCGTTGTTACAGAGCTGCGTGGAAAGTGAAATCGCTGTGGTGGGATGCAGTTACCAAGGCAGTAGCAGTAGGCGTAATAAGTATTTATATATATATATATATATGTATATGTGTGTGTACAAGAGACGTGAGTGATTGAACCGAAGATCTAGGGGTTGCACAATGAAAGGAAAGGGTTGTGGGAGGGTGGCGCAGAGATGCACCTTACCATTGATTGGCAAAAAAAAAGAAGTACAAAAAAAACGTGAGAAACAAAATGAAAATTGTATATATATATATATATATGTGTGTACGGAGAAGCATCGGCAGAGCCAGTAATTTATACACGCTGTCGGCAGAAATCATCCGAACTCAGGCCTCCTTTGGATGTGTGGGAGCCGTCTTCGTGCAGGCGCTATCGAAGTTCCTTTTCAAGTTGCGAAACGGGCGGTGGCGTGGCACTTTTCGCCCGGTGTTGCGGGACGTTCGGAGCAAAGACGCGCCAGAACTTTAGGGTCTCTCCCTGCGCAGCGCAAATGCGTTCCATGTCAGGGGCAAGTGTGGGGCACAAAATGCCTGCCTCGCAGTTTGGTGAGTTGAGTGTGCCGACGAGGTGAAAATTGTTGGCCTGACGGACCTGAATGTGCCCTTTCCCATTGTGGGAGGTTGCCAACTCGTTAGCACCAGGCGGGGACACGATGCCGCTGACAGGATGCAGGGTGTTTATGCCGCGCGTGACGAAGTGACTGCCCGTCGTCGGTCCCTCCTCGTCACCGCGCAGAATTGGCGGGACGTTTGTCAGGGGCGCGTGTGTGTCCACGTAACAAAGCATGCCATCCTGCCCTCCGGTGTACATCTTGCTGCGTTTGTCCGGATTCCACAGAATACTATTAACAGGGCCGCTGTGAACATGATCAAAGGCGTAGCGAGGGCTGCTATTGCGCCGGGCGTCCCACACACGTACAGAGCCGTCTGCAGAACCGGAAGCTAAGTAAAAGGGCTCTTCCGTACAGTAATGCAGAGCCGTGATGCCGCTGGTGTGGCCTTCGTATACAGTTGTGAGTGCGTGTTTGGCACGAAGATCGAAGACGTAGATGCCGCCACAGGATGTGCTAGTGCCAATGGAGAGAAGGGGCCCGTTCACCGCAAGGTAGGTAAATTCTTCCTTCGAGGGAAGCCGTACGCGTACGGTTCGCAGAAATTCTTCATTGCGGCAGTCATATATGGCAGTCACACCACCATCCAGTGCAAGTGCAATACATGCGCATTTATGCAACCAGTGTACAGCACGAATATGCATACTATCCTGTAACTGAACCACCAAAGAAGCTTGTGCCGTCGCGGAGTCCCATCCATACAAAGAGTTCCTCAATCCAATGACAAGTTTGTTATTACTGCCCCAATGAAGGAGTTGCGTGGCATGTAATGGAAAATTTGGTGCATCCAGCACCCGTTCTGGGTTGGTAAAAAGTACCCGCTGGGGCAAAGGTTTACCGGGCTTGAGACGCTTCACCAACGTGTTGCCGGCTGGTGAAGACGTAAAGGGCGACATAGCAAGTGCATGGATTCCGCCTTTCCCACTGTGGCGTGTCCCTGCTCTTCCAACAGTCTCACCACGTGAGGACACACAGCCCCTAGCGACAGCACCACCAATACTGGCTAAGCTCAACGGGGGCCCACGACTACGGATGGCATCTGTGCTATCAAACCGCAGTACCTCCCCACCAATCTTGCGGTGCCTCTGCGTGTTTTCTTCACTCAGTTGCTCAGCAAGAACCTCGTTGTAGATGGACATCACGTAGGATGAATCATCGGAGACGAAGGACTCGGAATGTAGACTAGAGTGCGACGCCACAGCAGAGTGTGGAAGTGGCAATCCCCCGCTGCCGCCCCCCACCCCTACTCCACCTGCAGCTGTCGTGACAGGAGGCATGGTGAGTGTCGTGGTGGTGCTGCTGGCGCTGGTCAGGTTGTAGGCTGACACGGCCATGTCCATTCCCTCACGCTGGGGAATGTGCCGCGACAAACGAACGGGCGGGGCATCCTCGTCCCCTGGTGAGCGAACAATAAGCTGCAGGGTGTTCGCCGAGAGCTCCTGCAGCGACATGGTGCCACTGGCACGCGTGCGTCGCTTGCCGGAGGGACGTCCAGAGGGAGTGGAGTCCAAGTCCGCGTACGCCCATTGCCGCATTCCTGCCCTGCCTCTTTATGTTTCTCGAGCGTCCTACCTTCCTTCCTCTTCATTCGCAGAAACAGCAAGCAAGAATGTCGTTGAGGGGCAAAGAGTAAAAAAGAAAGAAAGAAACATACACGCGTGCACCACAGTCATGGACAAAAGAAACCCAAGGCAGCAGAAGGGCACTGAAAATACGCGACAACCAACCATCCGCGCCCTCCCCCTCCTCCTCACCCTCGCAGCTCTCCACTCGCCCGCCCGCGAACGGCAGTTGCCGCAGGGGCGGCTCCTCTCACCCCGTCGGCTCACTTCCCTCCCCGTCCCATCGCAACGGCAGAACTAAAAACAATAAGAGCTGCCGTACCATCACGCAACGCCGCCGCCTTCAGTGTACCAACCCCCCCCCCTATGCCCTCAAGACTCCTCCACGTCTTTTTCTTCTTGCTGTTGTTGTAAACCGTGGCCTCTCCTTCCTGTTTCAATACCTCGTTCTCTCGTTGTTGTTGCTGTTGTTGTTGTTTTCACTGTCTCACGCCCGTTCACAAGGAGTGTTTACCCGAGGGGGCGCAATGGGATTGTACACGTCACGGCAGAGGGCGCGCTGCCGCTCCTCAAGGTGCAGGCACAGGTGGCGCATGAGATGATACATTTGCCCGTCACCATTCCCCATCAACAACGCTTGAGAAAAGAAGGGGAAGATGTCCCAGTAGTAGTCAGGCGGCACAAAAAATCCAAGACGCGCGAGCAACACCACCGCAAGCACATCCCCAGACAGAACAGAAACCAGCACGGGCTTCGCAGAATGTGTTAACATGTTTTTCACGGGGTGTAGAGGGCGATCATCACGGTACTCAAAGAAATGCACAAACTGTTCAAACTGCGTGTGACGCTTCTTCCATCGTTTCGAAATTTCTGTAAAAATCCGGGTGCGACTGTCGCGGATCCAGTCAAATTTCAGCATTGAGTTGAGAGCTTGCCACTGCTCATGTGCAGTGACACTGGGAAGCGGAAGATGATACCCCTCCCCACAGAGGTATTGTCGAATGCGGTCCACCACTTCTGGATGTCGTTCGGCTAGTGTGCGAAGCCGCAAGGAGCTTTGGCGTGCCTCAAAAACCAAAGCCATCTGCAACAAACCCCATACAACGTCGCCCGACTGAAGCATCGCAGCCCCAAGACGGCTACAGGTCGCACGCCGCACGGAGTTGGTAACCACCTCACTGATGAGCGGACACGCCTCCGGACCTTGCCGACATTGAATACAACAGGGACGTTTACCACGCGTGTTCTCCTCACGTTGGCCAGGAGAAGCTGCGTGAGGCGGGTCATTGCGCGCGAGACGCTGACCACGCCGCACCAAAGAAACCACATGAGCCACATCCAGCCACTCAATAGCGCAAGGAAGATTTAGAAGTGCGGCAAAGTCCGTCGGCGTGCGCAGGGTCGACTGGGCGTCAGTCAAGGGAGCAGAGGAAATGCTTTCGATCACAGCTAACTCGACATTCTTTAGGGTTGCGCGAGTGTACACTTGACGGCTGGCTTTACCACGGGCAAATGTTGGGATGAAGGGTGGCGCGTCAGGATTCATAATCCTGAGGCAGCGCCTACAAGAGGAAGAGCGAGAAGAAGCACAAAAATGCAATTGAGAGAAGTTGACAGCCTGAGAGTATCGATGGAGTGGAGCCCACCCAGCACGCCACAGAGAGAGCGGGAAAACGATAATGAAGGCATGCCAGTCGGTTCATTTTACCTTTGGCACTTTTTCAGCTGCTACCTTCAAGTGTTCTTGGCACCGCCCTATTTCACGTGAGGCAGCCTGCGCCGCTGCATCACCATGAAAAAGCAGGGACGAAAACAACAACATCGCCCAAACAACACCAATAGGCGCCGTGGAACGAGTAACACCCCTTGTCACCACGGTGACGCAGTGTTGGGGAGGCCGAGTGTCTTAGCTAGGGCCCCTTCTCGTGTGCGTGTGTCTCACAGAATCATGGTGACGCACTCAAGTGGCTCTATACCTGTCCCTTGCAGTCTCCGGCCCCTAAAGCATACACCCATGTGCAATGCACCTCTCCCCCTCCTTTTCAACGGCCAGGCAACTCCTCCAAGGGGTTTTGCGGTAAACTACCCAGAACACTTCGGCCACCAGTGCAACTGTTTCAAAAAGAAAGAAAAAAAACATACACACAGACATATATATATATACTTTTTTCTCTTTTTCTCCTTTTGCTATTATCATCAGAGCACCATCCCTCTCCCTAATGAGCTTTGCGGGCCACTACTTGGTCTGGTAGAAACCGCCGCTGTCGCACCCATGGCGGCTTGAAGGTGTACATCAAATGCCCGTCATCCGTAATGACATCCCATCCCTCCGGAACTTTTCGTAAGTCGAACGTGCGCACCGCCTCGTTTCGCTTCAAGGAGTTGTTCATATAACGCAGCAGCGTGCGCGCGTTGTGCACTCTCTCCCTTTTCATGTAAACGACGATGAGATCCTCCGCGGTGGAGATGACCATTGGGACTGCCTCGGGCCAGTCACGCGCTACCGTGCGGTAAATGGCAGCAACGCAATCGCCCAACATGTAACGCGTCGGCCTATCAAGCGCTCGCCCACCACTTGGAATAAATGGCCGTCCTAGTTGTTTGCTGTCATTTATAAACCGTTGCTGCCGCTCAATTTCTCGGTGGCGGTCGTACGGATCCGACACCGGCTGATAGGCGGTGAAGGGATTTTCGTAGCGACGGTGACGCACATAGGCACTCGAAGGGGAAGAGGACGAATCCCTGCCGTCGTCATATTCATCCTCTGCCCCTCTTCCCGCGTTTTCAGGTAGATCCAAAAGGCCTGTGCGCGAGGGAGTCGCTCCGTGCCCTGACAGAGTCTTTCCATGTTGGGACCCGGCTTCGTCGACGTGTAAGATCCCCGGCATGGTCTCTATCGCGCCACTGCTGCCGGAAGCCGCCCGCGGCTGTGGAAACGCAGGTAAGTCAACAGCGTACGGAGAATCGTTCTTGTTGCATTTACCGCTGCTTCCTAGTACGGCGTAATGCCGGTCATTCTGCCCCGCTGGACGCCGCGTGCTGCGAAGAAGCATTTGCAAGGGGGCAACGCCTTCCCTTCTCACGGGCCTGCCCTTCCTCCTCCGTGGTTCCTGCGCAGCAGACCCCCGCACTCCCCTGAGAAAGAAATAACTAAGGAAGAAACGAAAAAGAGACGTCTGCCGCGTTGGGTTCTCAAACCAAAATTCGTGGCATGTTTGTGTATTGACATTCTCGCGGCGGAGACAAAACACAACGAGCGGCAGCAGCGGAGGTAACATCCGTGTGCAACAGAGCACAGGGGAGCGGTGCAAAGCAGGGGGGGGGGAAAGAAGCTTTAGCCGGCGCGAGTATAGTATGAGTAGCGGCCGCGGGGCCCACCCTCGCCCCACGACGAGCACGCACCCGCTCATCCACTACTACTTTGAAAGAGAGAGAGAAAATAAAAAAGCTGCAAGTGACCAATGAAGGAGGCAACACACACACAACAAAAAAAAAAGAAACACATACACACATACTAAACAGAGAAAGAAAATTCAGGACATACATAGGTATATTTGCAAAAAAAAAGAGATTAACCGACCAAGGGCAGAATATGCCTAGTTGCGTTGTAACTCGTCACGCGCTCCAAGAAGGCGTTAAGGACACGGCCCAATAGATTCATGCAGACCAACTCAATATCATTGTGGTTGCATCCCTTAAACCAATAGTGGCTCACAGTCCTTCCCTTGTTGAGACGTTTCTGCGCCCGCTCGACGATCGCCAATAATCGCTCTGCGCAGCTAAAGGAAACGACGCTATCGTTTTTCCCATGCATAATGAGCACGGGGCAGTCACCAACATCCTGTAGAAATTTTTCGTTAGGAAACATGTCCCGAAAACACAGGTAGCGCAAGAAGGAGCAGTTTACCGCCCCCAAACATGAGGTAAAGGTGGAAAGCAGGATAAGCCCACCGATGACAGAGTGATGTTTCGAAGCCAAGTAGCAGGCAGGCCCACCGCCCATCGAGCGTCCCATGAGAACAATTCTGGAAGGCTCAATATGAAGACGTTCAGTGAGTTCCTCAAACACGGCATCTGCGTCCGCATAAACCCGCTCCTCTGTTGGCTCACTCTGGCCCTTCGCCCTTGAAAAGCCATAGCCACAATAGTCATACGCAACAATGTCAACGCCCACCGCGCGGGCCAAAACCACAAGGGTTTCATAGCAACTACCCAAGTCCTCTGCGTTTCCATGACTGTAAAGAATCGTCAAGGGTCTGCCCGAGCTTGCAGAAGCACCTTGTAGGGAACTGTATTTGATGTGCAGATAGTAAATCACCGCATCTTCCTGCCGAATCAGGCTCATCTCGCTCCGGCACCGTATTAGAAGCGCCGATGGCGGCGGGCTGGGTGGATAAAAGACAAAGCGCCCTAACATGCTGACGATGTGGCAGCAAACTCACCTCCACTTACACCAAAACTAATTTGCTCTCCACTGCTTCCACCCCCCACTCCCTTCCCTTGTTTTTTTTTTATTTGATCCGGACGATAACCACGGGAAAGGGAGTCCATGCGTTTACACATGCATGCACAGAGAAGGCAAGAGAGTAGGTGGGCGGGGCGGAGGCACAGAAGCAAACAGATAGAGAGACTCACCCTCCTTCTATTTTTCTCTTACCCTCAACTCCTTAGCCCCGTCAACCATCATGTCTGCTTCGGGTCCTTCCAGCCCTACTCCTCCCGACCAGGCCTTTTTTTCCCCCCGTTGGCTTGATCGCTATGATTAGGAGCCTCCGCTGGCGCTCTTAGAGACTCTCTCTCTCTCTTCCCCTCTCTCTCTCTCTTCGTTATGATGCCTCATTTCCTCTATGGCGGATACACGTCGTATCCTCGGCGGATCCCTGCGGCTGCAAATGTATAACAAACAACAAACGACAAGACAGCAACCACAACGCGAAAGTAACCCAAAAGAAAACACCCACTACAAGGCCAATAAAAATAGCCACACACACAGAGAGAGAGAGAATGAGAGACAAGCACACACACAGAGAGAGAATTTCCTCATGCCACTCTCAAAGAAAAGGTGCTACGAGAGAGTCTTGCAGGAGTTCAAGACGCAGCCGTCGCCTCGCTTCCTCATTAGCCGCATCTGAGTTGGTATTATTTAGGTCACGTATGCGTTTCGCATAGTTGGCAACTCGTTCACTGACCTCTGGGGAGGCAGTGGAGAGTAGGGCGTGGGCGCGCTTTTGCCCTTCATCCTCCTCGAAGGTTTCCAACTCCGCCGCTTTACACTTGGCGGATTGCACAACTTCCTCTGGGAGGTTGGCCAGCTGGGCAACATACAAGCCGTAACTGCGGCCACAAGGCCCAGGCTCCAGTCGGTAGGAGAAGCGCAGCGTCCCCTCGACGGTGTTGACATCGGCGCCAAAGTGCACATTCCTCACGTTGGTGTGGTGCTCTGCTAGCTGCGCCATCTCGTGAAAGTGGGTGGAGAAGAGAAGCGCGGAACGCGTCTTGACTGCCACCTCCTGTGCAATAGCCCACGCTAGGCCGAAGCCATCGTAGGTGGACGTCCCACGGCCAAGCTCATCCACAATGGCGAGGGAGTCCCGCGTGGCGGCGGTTAAAATGGCGGCGGACTCCAACATCTCCACCATAAACGTCGACACACCCTGCGCAAGGTGATCCGTGGCGCCAACACGGCACATGACAGCGTCCCTCGAAACAATATCCGCCGAGTCAGCCGGCACAAAACAGCCAGCCTGTGCAAGCACAACAGCTATCCCTACACTGCGCATAAAAGTTGACTTACCCCCCATGTTTGGTCCTGTTATAATAAGCGCATTCGCATCGTCAGTTAGGCGTACCGTATTTGGGACGTATCTTGGCTGACGAAGTTCAACAAGCGGGTGACGAACATTTACGATAGTGATGAGGTTTCCGTTGCTCTCTTCCTCCGCCGCTGTCATTGGTGAGCGAATCGTCGGACGAGCCATAGGATGCGGGGAATCCTTCACCACCGTTGCCCAGGCCACAAAAACGTCCAGCGCCGCAACTAGCTCCTTGGCGTCATCAAGAAGTGGCAAGTATGTGACCACAGTACTTACAAGCTTTTGCTTTAGATCTTGCTGGCGTGCATCGTAGGCATTTCGAATGCTCTTGTGCTGCTCACTAAGTGAGGAAAGCCGGTCGGAAACAAATCGCACACCATCCTTGGAAGTACTGACCGTGATAAGATCCTTGCTGTTGCGCACCTGTTGGTCCTCCTTGCGGGAGACACGAAAAACATACCCATGCGATGTATGATATTCACATCTCAGCTGCTTTTCTGTCCATCCATACGCCCTCATCGCGCGTTCGTGCTCCTTGTTAATGTCTTCTACCACACTTTTCCGCTGCTCCTCCAGCTCTATCAGCTCGTCGTCGAATTCAGGATTAATGCGGGCCCTGTTTTCGTCCGATAGGTCAATGGTGGCTGTGATGAGGGTGCGGAGGTTTGTGAAGTGCTCGTTGATTTCTTCCAATGGGGCGACGTATTCATCCATCAGCAACTTGCCATTTCGACCGCCTCGGTGACTCCTCAACACCTGCACCGCCTGTGGGATGGTGTTTACAAAGGTCAGAATAGACTGAATGTCTTTCAGAGCGATGCTGCGTCGTTGAAGCTTGCGATTCAGCCGATCCATGTCCCCACAACATCGCAGCACCTGCGAAAGAAGAGCATCACGCAAAATGGGGCTTTCCACCATCATCTCTACGAGCGAAAGACGTTGATTGATGTCCTCTGCATTGCGCAGCGGTTGCAGCAGCCACTGCCGCATCATCCGAGATCCCATGCCTGTGACGCAGCGGTTCAGCCACGAATAGACCGAGGTGGGAAGGGAACCGCGAGCCTCTGGCTTCTGATGTATTATGTGCAACGCCTGTATTGCCGCACTGTCCAGTTTCATAAAGGTCGATGGGATTGTGTGTTTTAGGTAAAAGGCACGGTGATTCGTCGTGTCAAAGGTGTCAATGTTATTTGCGACAAGATGCTCAACTGCTCGGGACGCCAATGGGCAGTCGGAAAGGGCAAGCCGGCCCTCCGGCACACGAAGGATGTCGTCAAGAGAGCTGAGAAAATTGTCTTTTGCCAGGTTGCCTTCCCGCCGCCCTGGCTTCCGCAGAGGATCCTGCGACGAGACGGCGCTGTCGTGTCCCCACTCACGGTACGCGACGTTTGCGCGCCCACACAATTGCTTTACCGCCCGTAGTGACTCCGCTTCTTGTCCACCGTCGCTGAGAGCCGCTGCGGTCCCGCCACCCTTGCCGGCACCGCCGCCCCTGTGCCTGCCCCTGTCCAAATAAATGAGCTCCTTCAGGTTGCACTGCGCCACCAGCGCGTCAAGGCTCGTCAGCTGTAGCGTGTCGAGGTATTCCGCGTACGTGAGGGTCCGGAGTGTTGTGTTGAGTGCGGCAAATCCCACCCGAACGCCCTGACCGCCGGACCCCATCGCCCCTGCTCGAGCTGGTAAGGGGGCCATTCCTGTCGAGAACGATGGCCCCAGTCGCCATAAGCTGGATATCCGCCTCTTCAAAGGAAAAGAGCGTCGCCTCAAAGTCGGTAATGTTCCCGGGTGATCCACGCTGCACACACACGTAGGCCCCCCCACCGCCGGGTGGCCGCTCGTAGTACTTGACGGAGACCCCCCGCAGCAGCAGGCAGTCGCGGATGACCTCCTTCGCGATGCTGTCGTTCACCACCACCGCCTCCACCCCGCCCCAGTTCTTCAACACCGCGGTGGACCGGATGTACTCCCGCGCAATAACGCCGGCCCACGAGCCCAGCACGTAGCACCCCGGGGTTGAACCGCTCCGCGCAAAGAGGCAGACACACGTCTTGTCATCACCCCCCGCAGCTGTAAACGCCTGCAGTACGGACGCGTCCCGTTCATCGCTCATTTTCTTTTTGTTTTGTTTTTGTTTCCCGTCCGCTACCCGACCCCTCCGCCGGAGAAAAGGAGGAAAAGGCAGAGCAGCGACGAGGGAGCCTTCGACGGAGCAGCAAGCAGACGCCCAGACACGCAGTGGGGCACAAAAGCAAGCAGGGCCGATCGCGCTAATGGCGTTGTCACAGCGAGAGCCTAGGGCTTCAACGAGGCACCGACAATACAAAAACAACAGCAACAAAAGCGAGGATTAAAAAAAGTTTGTAGCGAGGCTAGTAGAAAAGAATCCACACAAGCCAAAGCAAGACAGAGTTGCGCCAAACGAGCGCCTGTGTTTACATCCGCTATTTCAGGCCAGCCACACATATAGGGAAAAGACAAAAAAAATGACGACGACAGCCCTCACTCGGTCTTTACAGGATAGTCGACACGCATGCTCGGTGAAACACATTGCCGACAGCTGCGACGGTGCGGCACTGCAGCGTCTCCAGGACAGCCTGCGGAGCACATGATGTGCCAAGCAAGACGCAGTCCAAATACGTCGTGCACAAAAAAGGCTTCCCGGCGCTAACCATTTGTCACGAAGGCTGCCATGTTGTGAATGCAGATTCACCTGCTGCAGAACTGCTGTTCGAAGCCTTGTTTGAAACGTGGGATGTGCGTCGCACGGAGCAGACGATGAGAACCAGAACCGCGGAGAGCGTCCCCGCAACATAGAGCGCCAGAATAATCGCCGACCACCACCTGAGTTTGCCTTGTTTGGAGAAGCTGAAGAAGCCCTCGGGCCCGGAGCCTATCGGCGAGGTTTCACTCTCCATCCGCGCCGCCGCATAGACGACGGGCGGCGGGTTGTTACCGTCATCACCGCCATTTGCGTTGCTACTCACCGCCAACTGTTTCTGCGAACCACTCATCGCGACATCACCAACAATTACACGACCACGGCACGACAACCACCACCGCCAAAGCCACCACCTTGTGTGTTTATACGAAATGCAGCCGGAAAAACAAAACAACTACAACTACAACACACACAGAGAAAAAAAAAGAATAAGGGAAATAATGGTCGTCATGGTGGCAGACAGAGCAACACGCTTAACAAACGGTAGCAGAAACCAACTAAGCGAGCGTTGCGCAAAGAAGCAAAAGAAGCGGGGGCAATGAGTAATGCCTCCCGCGTGCTTCACGTTAATGTTAACTTACACACACGTGGCAAATGGAGAACGTCGCCAGAGAACACACCACCAGCATCATCATCTTCATCAGAGAGCATGTATGTGATTGCATAAGCCCGAAATATATTTCCTTTTCTTTCTGTCCCCCTTCTTTCGCACAATATATGCATAGAAGTTCGTGTGTGCGTGGACCTCTCTAATTTTTCTTTACGTTTTCGTTGTTGTTGTTGCCGTTGTCGTTGCTGTTGATTTCTTGTTTCCCTGAAGGGCTTAAAAAGGCGTAGCCTCGACCCACGCTGCAGAAAAACAGCTCCACCAATTACCCACCTCCCTCTGAGCCGACACGTCCTTCGAGCGGGCGGGCACAGAGGGCGGGAGAAGGGACCGGTGGCGACTTCCCCTCCGCACACGCGTGCTTAGAACACCAACTCCTCGTTGCCGTCCTCGTCGTCCTCCTCGGGTGGCGCCCCCTCGCGCTCTGGCAGCTGCAACCCGAATATGGGCGCACGCACCACGGGAGAAAATGTGGGCATCGTAATGGCGGCGCCCTCGGCGACGGGATTCTCGCTGAGCAGGAGGAGGCTCAACGCCATCCCTGCCGCAACGGAGGGGATCCACCAGTTCACCTTGGAGATCATCCAGTCCGCGCCGTGGTCGAAGAGGTGGTGCAGCTTCTGGTAGAAGTACATCTCCTCCCAGTTTACCTGGGGAGCAGGGGGCCGGCCAAACATCATTGTGTGAGTGAGTGAGCCAATGCGTGCGTCCCTGGAGAGAGGGATAGACCTCGCGGATGCGGGAACTGCCGCGGGCCAAAGAATGAAGGAGGAAGCAGCAAACCAAAAAAAAAAGCAGGAATGCACCACGCCAAAGCAGTAACCGGAGGAGCTGCAGGGACGCATACGAACTCATCTTTTTCCGTGGACTCCTAAAGGCGTTTTCTGTGCAAATAGCCAATGCCCCACACTTCCAGTGCCCCATCCCAAATAGTTTCAACGGCAAGGAAGAAACAAACGAAAAACTAGATGTTAGCTCCGAACCAACAGCAAGGCAAATGCAAAAAATAAAATAAAATAAAATAATAAATAAATAAATAAAGTAGTATATACGAGAAGAAATAAAATCAAGGAAAAGAAAAAAGAATAACACCCGTCTCTCTGTATTTCTGTTTTTAGTGGAGGTTTTTGCCGCTGCTGCAGCTCGGTCGTTAGAGCGGCGAAGGTGGCCTTCCGCGGCGGCCAGGTTGGCTCACATCGAAGACGCTGGCGTGTGGGAGAGAAGGTGCGCGTACAGTTCCTTGGCAAACTGTACGACGTCAAACTGGGCATCGCTTAGCATGAGATCAAACGTGCAAGGCTCTCCCATGAGGGAGACACCCGCGATAAACTTCAAAGAGGCATCACAAAGCGCAATAGCCGCCACAGCATCGACCAGGGCGGTGGAGTCAGCGGCCTCTTTCACCTTCACACCGCAGGCACAAGCCAACGCGACAGCTGCTTGCGTGTCCCCATGTGCTCCGCTAGGATGGAGTCTCTGACGCAGCAGCGCATGGGCACATGTGAGTTTCACCAAGATCGTCATCATACTAGCATCCACGGCCTCCGCGCAAGTGGCTTTCGCCGTAAAGAAAAAGGAACGAAGCAGCGCCGCACACGGGGTGGAAATATGTGGTATAATAGGCTCATCCACAGACGGCTGCAGGGCCCACTCGCACCACGCCAGCCACTGATTTTTGCACCGACACATGTGGTCAAGTCCGTCCAATTCGGACCTCTCATTACCCGCAGCATTGTTTGAGAGCAGTTCAAGAATTGCCGAATGGTCACTCTCTACACGGCCGATAGGGGTGGTCGGGGGGAGGTGAATGACGACGTCGCCCCGCTCCATGAAACAAAAGAGTTGACGATCCTGCACCAGCACCGATTCCTGCGTCGCTCCAATAAAAGCTCCCGCGGCTCTGCAGCCCACGCGTTGGCCCCCTTCACGCACCACAACATGCTCGTGCTGCTTGATAACACCCTGCACCGCGTGCAGGGCCGAAGCTGTAAGGGTATGTAACGAGGGCGCAAAGAGGACCCGTTGGGAAGCCACATTGAGCAGTCCCCCACGCACACACTCGATGTGGCGCCCAACCTCAACGGTGACAGGGATGCCCACCTGGGACGTAGCTATTCTAGTATACGTGGGCAGAAGTGCACCCTCGACACCGTGCACGAGGGGCACCACTACATTTGTTTCTGAAGCCAACGCCAACAAAAACTTCTGCAGGACGAAGAGGCTATCGGATGGTCCCACAACGTAGGCGGCAATGGAGTCAACCTGTACCGTCGCGGAGACAAGTGCGACCCCCACAGCTGCCCAAAGCGCTGCAGGTAAGGCAAATACTCTTGAAGCTGCCAAGAGTGCTTCCACTCGACATGGGCCGCCCGGTTCTTCTTCCCGGAAAATTCCTCCACACCCTTCAGCCAAGGCAAAGGCAGCTGCCCCCGCCACACTCTCCCAACTGCATCGTGACTGAAGAAAAGACGCCTCCTCCCACTCCTGCCTCACGGCAAAGACATCCTCGACTCCTAGCGAAAAAGAAGGATAGTTCGCAGCATCTGCTCTTGCCATGAAGAAATCCTGTGACCAAGGTGAAGCAAATGTGGCTGTGCGAACAGCACGGGCCTCGATGAGAATATGTCCAGCTGATGCAGTGGAAGAGGGGACGGCGGCGGCGGCAGGAACACAGCGGCGCCTAGAGTAAAGCATCGGGCCCATCTGGCCACAAGCCACCTCTAGCAGGCCCAACACTTGAATGCGTTCCCCAACCACGGCCACAGCACGCAGCTCAGTGAGGGGCAGGAGCGAAAGATCGAGCCAAAGCGGTAGTTGTCCAACCATGCCATTGTGGTTGGAAAGCAACGGTTGGAATTCCAGCACGGGTGCAGGATCCGCGGATTCTCGGTGGGGAAAAAACACACCTGTAACGTGGCCAATCGCATGAATCCATTGCTCTGCCGCTATTACCGCGTCGCGCGGGCGTTGGAAAGGCGAGCGCTTCTGGTGGAGTGTGAGACAACTGGGAAATGCGCTCAATGCGCAGCAAACGACTAACTTCACGGTTCCCTTTTTCACCGCCTCCCAAAAGTCGCATGACCATTGCGCAGTCCACGCACATATGGGACATCCACTGTCAGCGGCTGAAGCAAATTCCATCGAAGCTAGAGCTTCTGCGGAAACATGATGGCAAAGGCTTCCTGGTGCCATGTGGTGTTGACTTGAGGGCGACAATATCAGTGCGCTTTCTTCGCGGAGCCACTGCATCAATTCCTCTCCCAAGACGTCGTCCAGACTCCGCGGGCACTCCAGCAGAAGTGTGCCGAGCACCGGATACTTCGACGCTACCTCCATAAAGTGCATCATGAGGCGCAACCGCCACGGCTCAGGGGAGTCCGCCGTGTGGGGGGCGTCACTGCCGCCGTCCAGGGCCAGCAGTGAGAGCCCAGAGAGCAACTGTCCCTGCAGGCCCCCGCCATCAAAGAGGAGTGATCGCGTCTCGTTTGCTCCCCAATGACGGGGCGGCGCCGTCGACAGCATGGAGCAGCAAGCCACCGCAACTGAAAAACGGCGGGGGTTAACAACACACAGAAACACAAATAGAGATAGATAGAGATAGAAAAAAAAAAGGAAAATTTTAAAAAGAGATGAGCAGCGGCAGCGAGAGACTGACTGGGAACAAAATCATGTTAGCGAAGGGTGCCTCGCGGCAGCTGAGTCTCGTCTGGGCGAGGCCGCGAGTATGATAGAAGGGGCGGAGGAGGAGGATAAAACTCAGAAACAGAGACAAAAACAAAAACAAACCCTTACCAAAAAAAAAAACGGCAAACATGCCAGCAGACCCAGAGTGGATTTGCGGCCAAGCCCCTCCCCGACACGGCAAGCACCCGGCACTGCATTAATAATAACAATACGGCAACAGTGCCCAGGGAAAAGTCCCCGTGGAGGAAAAGAGAGGCAGAGTAAACACACACACACACAAGCAGCAACAACGCGAGTAAAGTACATCGAAGGTCCACCCTCAATCCAGGCAAATAACAACAACTGTTGGCGTTGAAGCATGGCCACCTCTCTTCCCCGTCGCGCGGCCAACAACCGCGTCCCCTGGAAGGGAAGTGCGCTTCCAATTGCCAATACGGGCCGCCGCGGTGCGCTCCGTGTGGTATCGCGCATTCCAGATACGCACAACGTCCAACTCGCGGTAAACCATAGTCACTACCTGCCGGGAGTTCCACGACACAACGCCGAGGGCCAGTGGGAGGTACAGGCGGAGCCGAAGGCAGATCTCAGGGGGCAGACGGCGCAGCATCGCGTCGCACGCACGCACCCTTACCGTGGACGCATACTTCCCCATCAACTGCCTCACGCGGGGTGCGTCATGAGTCCCACCGACAGAGTTCATCGCGGGTTGTCTCACGTCACGGTGCGTCCACCGCGCGCCAGCCTGCTGAAGGCAGCGAAGCACGCAGAGAAGAACAACAAGGGCCAGCAAAGCAATGGCGCCACTGCTCAGGTCAACCCGCGCCAGGCTGAAGACGACATTCATCAGAATGATGCCCAAGTGAGTGCCTCTCGCGTCGTAAGGAGGGCGCGCCAAGACAGAAGGAGGCGTAAAAACAGAGAACGAAAAAAAAAAGGAAAAAAAAAGGAAAGAAAAAAGAGGGACGAACGTGGCACAAGACAAAAATGAAGTTATAAAGGGAAAAACAAACAAAAACAGACATCTCCATTACCCGAATATATATATATAATATATATGTGACATATTTCAAACGGGCACACATTTTCTCTCTTTTCTTTCAGTGCTTGTGTGGTGCTCTGCCCCCGTTTCCGCACTTGGTGCGGAAGCCGGTGCCGTGGGTGCATTGCACGGCCTTGCACCCTCCCCATCGCCCCCTTCCATCTCGTTACTGGAAACCACCGCCTGGTAGGGGATGCCGTGCCAGCAGAGTTCATCCACAAGGCGTTGCCGCATCATCTTCTCTTTCGCTATGAGACGTGCGCTTTTCCGACCACCCTCCCCAACGCCCTCAGCGTTGGCAAGGCGGAGCATTTCCTCGCTCACACGAACAATGACGACGTCCGTCAGCCGTGCCACACGCAGCGCCATGTCGTATGTCTGACAACTCTCAGGTGTGGTGTCCCTGAACGCGGTGGGAGCTGCAACGGCCGAGAAGACGTCACGCGATGGAAGAAAGGCACGCTCCATCAACGCCAAATCATCGGCAGAGATGTCTGCAGAGTGTGACGGGGAGGTGGTGGGGAGTCGAACCCAGGCCCGTCGAGCCACAGTGAACCAGCTTACCAGCTCGTGGAGCTCGGCAGAAAACACAGACTCCTCAAGCAAGGGCAAACGCTGGTGAAGCTCGTACCGAAACAAATCCTGTCCGCTCTGTACACTTTGCTTCTCACGCCCTGTAAGCAACGCCGCTTCTTCTTTTTTCGCATTCAATTCAAGACGAGATAACTTCGACCAGAGTTTTTCGGCGACCGCCAACTCCGCGCAGCGCAACAAGGAGGGGAGGAGGTAGGACCACGTACAAGCGGCATGTCGGTACTGCTCGGACCCAGACCTGGCTGCTTCGCCCACCGCGTCCGACATGAGCTTCTTGTAATGCAACTGGCCGCTTTCGGGGGAGGTGGCCTGGCTGCCGTGGCGTAGCCCGCGCAGCTGGCCGAGGGTTCGCCCGTTGTGACGACGGGCATCCGCGTTTACAAAGAATAGGTCACCTCTGCCCGTACGACCGTGAAACTGACGTGGGGGCGTCAGGCACGGCGGCAGCCAATAACGCGCGGCGGCTGCAGCCAAGCCCACAGCGGAGACGCGGCGTCGCAGGTGTGCAGAGCCCCCGGGCTGCATCGCGCCAGAGCTGAAGACGACAAAGACGAGAGAAGAAAAAAACAAACAAACTCCACAACTGCAGCTGGGACCCAAAAACAAATTACGCCCCCCAGACGGAGAGATGGAGAAAGAACGGCGGAGTAAGCAGGAAGAAAAAAAAAAAGGACAGACTGAGGAGAAAACAAAAATAGCGCGAGGAAAACACAAACAGGAAGATCACTGCATTATCCTTCTGTAAAGTCGCACCCAGTCCCCAAAATCCGTACGTCATTTGTTTTGTATTTTATGCAGAATGACAAGAAACAAGAAGAATGTCTCCCAACAATGGCAACTCCACCTCCCATGCCGTAACATTTCCCGATACGAGCGTGTCGCCAGCATTACAATTACAAGCTCAAGGGCGCGAGTACGTGTTTCTCGCAAAGTCATCCTCACGACTTCGCTCTAGGCGATACCAATAGTGATCTTTTTGCTGCTGCTGGTCTCGCGCCAGAATCGTCCAATTGCGCTCATTGTTTCGAATGTTCCAGTGTGGCTCACGAACATACAGTTGCCCACTTGTCACCTTCATTGTAGTGCCGCCATGCTTCTTCTCGGATTCTCTTTCTTCCTCAAGGAGCTGCTGCAGCCCCTCCCGCTTCTCGGGATCATTGGTGCTCGCAATGAGTTGCTCCAGCTCCTTCACGCGTCCCATTACCGCCGCGTTGTAGTGTTGCCGCTTTTCATCAAATGCCTGACTGCTCACGACAGGGACTCCTGCCTGATGCTGCGATGCCTCCAATGCGTCGTCTCCCACCGACGGCGCTACCCTCGGCCCGCGAAGGAGTTCATACTCGAGGTGGTTGTTCACATTGGGCGAGGGAATACGGTCCTTGTGTGTCACGTTCGCCTCGTACAGGATGGTGCCCGCGGCAACGCCGAGAACAATGCCACTGGCCCTGTATGGATGCTCCCGCACACGGCGCGTTGTACGGTAGAGCCACGCAGAGACTTCTTTTCCCAAAAATGGGAGTGGCACAACCTTCTCACGCATGTCCCACTACAAAACGGACTTCCTCCACGCCCAACAGCGACCGTCACCCTTACAATCGCCCTTTGCTTGCGCGTATTGTGGGTTCTCCACCTGCCACGTTGTTTGGAAGGGACTCTTACCGCCGTTTTCCTCACCGCAGAAGAAAGAAAAGGGGAAAAGAGCTGAAGCGTCGTGGAGTGAGAGAGTGGGGGCCATATGCTTCAGTTGCCGGCACCGGCCAGCCCATGCACCTAATCGACTCCTCCCCACCCCACCCTCTCTCTCTCAGCAGCAGATGCAAACCCATGGAAGAAATTTGCTGTCTTCCACCCATTCTCCCCCGCACACAGGCAGAGAGGCACAACAAACACCCCCCTCCCCCCACGCAGAATGCCCCCAAAAGAAAGGTCAACTGCAACTGTTAGCCGTCCAAATGTGGAAAACAGCTGGCGACTACATACTTGCATCGCACCTCTTTTGTAGCCGCCAGCACTGAATAAAATCCATTTTTCTACCGGCTACTAGTTGCTTCTTTTCCGCGGAGGTAAGAAACTCATATGACGAGCGCACACGGTTCAACTCTGTAAGAAATGGCTTAGCAGTGAAGGCGGCAGGAACAGGTTGCGCTGGTGTGGTTTTTAATTCCTTCAGGCATCGCTTTGCTTGAATGGCTTGTCGAAGTCGCAGCAGCAGTCCTGAGTAGATGCCACAGTGGCACGCCTCCGTCACCAGTCCCAACCCCTCGCAACGCCGAAGCTCCTTCTCTAGGAAGTGCAACGGAAGCCAAAGAAATCGTACGCCATGGAAGAAGATTTCCGCTTCTTCATCACAGTGACGGCTAGAGATGCACGATACAGATGATGACGCAACACATGAAGTTGATAATGACTTAAAGCTGGAAAGAGTCGTTAATTTCGCTGGATGACGCTGATGATACACGTCGCATGCATAAAAAGCGAGTTGGTACGCTGGTATCTCAGATGGAAACTGAGTTCGCTCCAACACTGATTGAATCACAGGAAGCGGTAACGGGGCCAACGCCTTCTGTGTCAGACCCCCACTCTGTTGAACAGAGAGATCGACTGATGTGTGGCCTTCTCTATTGGACTCAGCGATGGCATACCTCTCATTGAGATGCAGCACCAGGAACGAAGCAAACCTCTCCAGCAAATCTTGAGTGGTGATACCCAAGGTCGCTGCGACAAGTTCCTCACCAAATGCAGAGTGAAGATGATCGTGACAACAACCACAAGAGAAGACTGGAAGATTATACAAAGTCGTTAGCAGATGCATAAGGTCTACTGTGGCTCCCTCGAGCGAGCCAACTGAGGCATCCTGACACATCTGCCTGGCACCATTATGCGCCTCCTCGTTAGTATGACCTTTCATCTCCCCCGCCGGCACGCTTTTTACTCCCTTTGCAGTTTGTTCGGGTTCCTTTATTTCCTGACCCAGTGTCGTTGTTTGCACCACTGGTAGAGTGCTGAGGACACGGCACAGCGCCTCACTGAGAGAGCCAATTTGTTCCTGCTGCGAAAGCAGAATTCGCCTCCATGCGTCTCCTTCTTCTACACCAAAAGGTTTCTGAGGAGTGGGAGCAGAAGGCGGCGGCGGCGGTGGGGGCGAAGGGGAAAGAACGGGTGGGTGAGGCGGTCCAAGAAAATCCGACGCAGCCGCAACAAACGATTGACCGCCTAGACGGCACTTAATGGAGTTTATTTCATCTTGGAGCAGAAAAAGGCGCTGCAGAATCACATCGATACTGGCATCATCCTTCCTGCTCGGCGGCCCCGTGGCGGTGCGTGGCGGCAGAGGCAACGCTTTGGCGTCGGTGTACGGGGGCGGGGGCGGGGGCGGAGAGGCCAATGCGCCTCCCCCCGTCCTTCCCACTTGTGTGGACTCCCCCAGCGCCGCTCCAGGGCGCGCAACAGCGGCCCCGCAATTTGACGGCACCAAAGCGACGCGGCCGGGTACGCCGCCCGCACTCGGAAAAAGTTCTGCATACGTTGGCGGTGGTGCCTGCATCACCCGCGGCTGAGGGCCGCAACAACACAGCGCCCCTTTCACGTCCGCTTGAGCCACACTAGCTGCCTTATCCACAGCTTTCCCACCGCGGCTATTTCCGTTGCTTGGAATACCACCGCCCAACATAAACAAAAACAAAGCGGAAAATAATAACAATAATAACAATACTAATAATAATAATAAAACAACAACAGAGCAGCAACAACGGACCCACAACCACAAAACTATAGAAATCACAATAACATTTTAACATCACCATCGTCAACAGGATCTCACGTGACATTAGAAAGCAACGCTTATTCTCATCTATACATTGTGCAAGTCCCACCAAACGTACATATACCAACTGCACACAAATCACAGCAACAGATCTGCAGTGCATCAAGCATCGCCCACTGGTTTTTCCAGCTCCTCAACGTGCTCCGCAGCCTCAGCCTTCGCGGCGACCGCCACCGGTTTTTCCAGCTCCTCAACGTGCTCCGCAGCCTCGGCCTCAGCCTCAGCCTTCGCGACGACCGCCACCGGCTTTACAAGCTCCTCAACGTGCTCCGCAGCCTCAGCCTT